CTATACTAAACTACCAAGGGGACCCCTATGTGCACGAATAGCCCCTTGGCACACCCAAACCCTAAACCCTAATCCCCAAATCCTGAACCCAAAACCCTAAACCCTTGATGGTCCCTTGGGAAGCCTAACATGGACAATAAGCCAAACAATTTTCTGGCTTGCTGTTAAGGAACTTAAATTAGGTTACCATAATGGGTATATATAGTAAATAATAGGGTTTCCCCAATATAGTAACTTAATTACAGTTCCTTAGATCCCTATTTTCCCCCAGTTTTCATTTCATTTTCCATTTTCTTTTCCATTTGATTCTCCATTATAGGGGTATAATCCCCTAATTTAAGTTCCTTAACAGCAACCCAGTTTTGGGAGAGCCCTTGGCTCTTGGCTTCCCCCTACTATACCCTTACCTCTACAAACCCCCACGGGGGCTCCGGGTTTAGGGTTTAGGGTTTAGGTAACCTTCTCTCTCTGATATTAGAACCCCCCACTCCCCCAAAAAAACAATATTCCCCAACATGAGAATACCACAATGGGAATATGTTCTATATTAGTGGAGTCGGGTTTCATATTCGGGGGAGGTGATTAGTCATCCTGGAATAACGTTCATGCCCTAAACCCAAAACCCTAAACTACCCTAAACCCTAAACTACCCTAAACTACCCTATTCCCTAAACCTTAAACTACCTTATTCCCTAAACCCTACTACCCTAAACCCTAAACTATCCTTTTCCCAAAACCCCAAACTACCTTAAAGCCTAGACCCTTAGCCCTGGGGAACCTGGGGCTAGAGGGAATCCATAATCAGCTCAAAGCCTAAACCTTAACCCCTAAACCCTAAACCCTAAATCATAAACCTTAACCCCTAAACCCTAAACCCCTATATACTATATAGTTTCCATTTTCTTTTCCATTATCCCCACATAACCCCAAAGTTTTCCCTTTTATACTAGTTTCCATTTTCTTTTCCATTATCCTAAACCCTGAACTCTGAACCTTAAACCCTAAAACCCCAAGCCCTAAATCCAGGCACATGTAGCGCTCGGTGGTTTCTTGGACCTCGTAGAAAGCAACTTGACTCCAGGCCTCCTTGGAGTTGACACTGCCTGAGAACTGTCTTGGACCGGGATTTCAGGATACTTTAGGGTTTAGGATTTAAGGTAGCTTGGGGTTTAAGGTAGTTTAGGGTACTTTAGGGTTTAGGGTAGTTTAAGCTTCAGGGTACGTTGGGGTTTAGGTTTAGGGTTTAGGGGCACTTGTTTCGGGAATTCAGGGCCCACAAAAAGCTGAAAGTTCCAGAGGCGCGTGCCAAAACAGCTACGAACCCTAGATGATACTAGGCAGCTGTATTAAGCAGCTCGAGTGGTATCTGCAAAAGGAACCAGAAAAAACTCTACTACGTTACCCGGGGATCACTTGCGCGTTCCCTGGCCAGAAACCCTAAACCCTACAGCACAGCATACAATGCCTAGACATCCCATATTCGATTTAAAGAGCCTAGGAGCTTTCATGTCCAAATCCTATACCAAGCCCTCCCCAAGACAGAAGGTGAGACTCATGGTTTGGGGCTTAAGGCTTAAGGTTTAGTGTGTAGCTTAGGGCTTAGGATTTAGGTCTAGGGTATGCGGAATGCAAGGAAACTAATTGCCAAGGTCATTCAGGGACGCCAGGATCAGATCGTTTCCAAAACTCTTCAGAATCCAAATGGTTGAAAAAGACATCCGGCATACGCAAGAACAGCAAGGGAATATGGCGCACAAGTAGTCAGGTCACTGCCATGAAAATAAACCTCTTCTTTAGGCATACATAGCCTATTAGGGCACGCGAGGGCTGTAATTCCTCACTCAAGGGCTCGGGGGAGTACATGTAACTCAGATAATTGGAAAACTTGACAGGAAACAATTTGGGGAGCGTTTTCCCTATAGACCGCCATATATGGCGAGGTCGGTAACGTCATGAAAAAAAAACAGCACCCGATGTCTTGCAGGCAAGTAAGAATTGAGAAGTGTCTATGTTTGAACATGCTCCCCTAGACCTAGAATCATCCTAATGCTAGCACTTTTTCCATGTTATCATGAAGCATTTGGTAAAGTCCAACAAATGGGACCTTCTCTTTTAAAGTCCAAAATACTAGAATCCCCAGGGGCTCAAAAAGGGACCCCTAACTGTTGAAAGCCCCCATGTAGGGAAGCGCATAAACACCAAATGCCGACTGCCCCCGATCTGCCTGGATGGACCACAACCTGATATGGACGGGGTTTGGTTTACATAAGTGTGCGGGATTATTCTGGCCAATTGCAAAATGCTGATCCGTTTTATTGGGCCACTAGTGGAAAGCAGCCACTTATATTGATTGTACCCAAATTGGGACCATGATTTGACAACCTTCCATCTGGATTTTGGGTTCAGTGTCTTCTGCCAAACGGTTTGGCGCTTTGTGTGTGTGCTTTTCAAGGCCTTCATGGCGTCGAATCTTGATTGCTCTGATTTAGGTTTGAGGATTTGGCCTCTGACAGATCAAGCCCTGGGAACTCCGCGAGCATTGAACCTCTTTGGGGTTGAAGCTACAGGGTAGACTGCAGAACTCCACACAAAACAGCAAAACTACGTTCAAACTTACCTGAGATACCCTTGTAAACCCTGAACTCCTTAACTCCTGTCCTGCAGGTGACTGCATCAGAGGCCCAAAGTCTCCTCTGCTCCCTACCCACCCTAAAAGAATGGAAAGAACATGGAAACTACTACAGTACAATAGTGTGTGTATATATATATATATCTATAGAAACTGGGTTACAGTAGGGAGTATGAGAATATTTTCCCATATAGGGATTATGTAGGGATAATACCACTTTTATTGTCCACTCCCCCTTCTGGTCCTTCAACAGTAGCAGGGAGCTTTGAATCTTCAGGGAGCCGAGGGAAGGGGGATTTAGGGTTTAGGGGTTTAGGTTTTAAGGTTTAGGGTAGGATTTATTGGACATTTCAGAAAACTTGTTTCTCAATCATTATACTATCATGTTATCAGCATATTGCACATCTGTAGACTTGCATGTTCAAGAGGAAATCCCGACATGTTGCAAGATTCGAAGGAGAAAATGAATGGCTTAGGGAATTCGTTCCCTCTGGCCCTGCTCTCATCAAACGAAGAACCCAGACCCCTAAGAGACTGGGAGCAACTAAACGTGACATCCCCTATTCAAACTAAGAACCCCCTGTAGCCCCCCTGGAGATTCCCCCAGACCATCCTCACCTCTCAAGGAAAATCCTCAGCCGTAAACCCTAAACCCTAAACGACCTTTTTCGGGCCTGGGAAACGTTTCCAAATCAGCCCTAGCCACAGGAAGGCCCTGAAGGGTGTTGCCCTTTCCACGGTTGCGGAGCCGCGCCAGGTTTGGGTAGAGGCCCGCCTGGGAATTAGGCTATGGGGATTAAGGGGTTTTTCAATGGTCCCCCTTAAACGGATAGAATATGGGGTACATGGGGATCTTACTATAATATACCCAAAGCCATACTCTATCTACTGAAAGGGGACTATATATGCGGGCAAGCTTAGGGTGGGATACACCACAGTGTAACTAGAAAGGACTTGAGGGCGCAGTGAACGGGATGATCTTGGGGAGTTGCGTGAATGCCGGCATACGGTACCGTCGTTCAAGGCACAGCAAACACAAGTCCTACATCCCTTCCCGGCCTGATCCTAAGTCGTGCTTCGTTAAAACTTCTTTGGGTCTAGCTTTAGGCCCTATGTGCTGGGTTGGGCCCCCACCCACTAATAGTGATATACTAGGAATCTATACAGACCCTACTATAGTTACCATTACCCCTTGTGGTTGAGGAGGGGCCCAACCTAACCTATATAGCGTGGGGACAAGGAACATGGCAAATAACTGGGTCCATAAGAGATGCTTCCGCTGCCTATAGTCCCCCTTAAGTAGATAGAATATAGGATTTAAGGTTTAGGATTTAGGGTTTAGGGGTTATAGTCCCCCTTTAGTGGGTAGGGTATGGGGTATACGGGGATCTTATTTTTTAATATACCCAAGGCCATATTCTATCTACTTAAGGGGGACAATATGTGTTTCTTGCCAGACTGAGACTCTACCGTAATCTTGAGGCCTGCCCCCACAAGCTCACAGGCCATAACAAGCTTGGAACCCCTAACGATGCACCCGCAGAGGGTGGTAATCCTTGTGGGATGTCACTCCAACAGATACCCTATCATAGTATAGTAGCTTCCATATTTCCATTACATCCCTATATCCCTACATAACCTTGGTATATGGTTAGTGGGACCGCTTTGGGGGCTGCACGTTGGTCTGGTGCCTGGCTGGAGAAATCAACCTCCAACCCGTGAAATGCCATGTGCTCTGGAGCCGCTTGAGTAGATAGAATCTGGTCTATATGGGTGGTTGTGGCGAATTCCATATTCTATTTTATTTAGGGGGACTGTATGGAACCCAGAAAACTCCAAAACCTCCGCATCCCCTATTAGCCCAATGGAAGCGTTCCGCATGTTCCCTCTCCTGTCCCTCACCCGCCCGCCGTCAGCACTGCGCGACAGGCGTCCGCCAGAAGATCAGGATCAGCATGATCCTCCAACAAAGGGAGTTTACTGGGAACCCCAAACAGGGAACCCCAAGAATATAATACGAATATAATAGGAATATACCTGCCAGGGTCCTAATATTCTATTATATTCCTACTATATTTTTGGGGTTCCCTGTTTGGGGTTCCCATTAGACCCCTTTTATCCAAGGCTGCACAACTGGGGTTCAGGGTTTAGGGAGGGAAGCCTTGACCCCCTTCCCTGATAGTCAGCTTTAAGGTCCTCCCCGCACCCCTGCAGTTGTGCGTATTCCCCCTGCTATATACTCGTGCTTTAAAAAGAAGAAAAGGTTTTTGTTGAAACCTGTCTCAAGGCATAGGATTTCCCAGGAGGTTTTGTTGTATGTAATCCGGGTATACTCACCCGCCGAGGTGTAGGGCTCAGGGCTTCAAAGCGTGGAGTTCGAAAGGATTTCTCATGTGAGCTATAATCTAAACTCCTAGTATCCCACTTAATTACCATCTGTAATACTCCCCTGTAGAATCCCTTGTGTGATCCCTAAAAGATCTGCCAGATAGAGGTTGATCAAAGGCAGGCGGCCATGTCTGAATCCTGAGGACGACTGTGAAATCAATCCCCAGAAAGGTCCTCGGGCACGTTATGCAGAACGTCTTTGGTTGCTGCTATGAGATCTTCTCGCAAGCGATGGATGTAGTCCTCTGCGGCTGGATCGGTTTGGGCTTTGGGTCTCAGATGGCTCTGGAACTTCCTGATAGAACCGGGAATTATACATGATCTCCCCATATTCCCCATACATCCTATCCCTGGGTCCCCAAAGGTCAACTATGTTTAGAAGCCCACATGGGTTTTCGCAATATTAGAGGTACCCTTATGGGGGTCCCTATGATAAGGATTATGATATATTAGGCTCTATTTTGGGGTCCCGTAATTTGGGGAAAGTACCACACAAAGGAGTGTTGGGGCTCATGGTTTGGGAGTTTGGTATGCAGAGAGCTTGTCTTTCACCAGTCAGTTCAGGTGCCAAGCACGTACGACCTTTGAAGGCTAAGCTTGGATGTAGGGGTGTAGGGTTACGGCTCAGGGTTCAGGCTTAGGGCAGCTTTGGTGCCGCAAAGCTTAGTCCATGCATGCCAGACCTTAATGAAGCCGAATCCTCCTGAACAAGACGTATGTGGCTGCCCATCATTCAGTGCGACACATCTCGAGCATGACACATGCAAGCGGCAAAGACCGACATGTCATGTCTTGCGGCTTAGGGCTCAGGCCAGCGGACCCAAAACGCTAACCCACTGTGGAACAAAGCGGGCTGGTCAAGGCGAAGGATATACTTGGCAGATTGTCAACATCAAGGTTCCGGAATTCAGTTTCGCTGCCATCTTAATAAGGAATGGTATCAGACCCCAGTCAGGGCCAGTTCAAGATTACCTTGTTGCAAATCATTAGCTCCTGTCTTGCATCTCTGCGCAGGCCCTGTCAGACGTCTCTTTCCTCAGACCTCACGTAGTAGAAGATCCCATAATACAAGAAGAATACATGGGTCCCTGTCAATGCAAAAAATGATCATTTTGAGACACCCTATTCAACTTCTACAATAAGGGGCCCCAATGTAGACCCTAAAATGCTACAATCCTTTTTATGGGGACCCCCCAAAAAGTGTTCCTAGTTTAGAGATTTCCCTTTCTCTAGCTTGCATGTCCATCGTCTCGTTGGAGAGGAAATTCTGCCTTGCGAAGCTCACGCCGCCTCTCTTCCAGCCCTTGTACGCCTTGCAAGCTCACGTTTACTCAAAGATCCTAAGCTGGAGCCCCCAAAAGGGAAACCAGTTACCAATATGGGGGGTTTCCCAAAACTAGGGATACCGTCTTGGAGGATTATCGCATTTTGGGGGCTGGAGAGGGTTTAGAGTTCAGGGTTCAGGGATGTATTCTTGCTTGGGATACCTTAGGCGTTGCAAGACGAAGGGCTTTTGGATCCAACCCGAAGGTCATCAGTTTTAGGGCTACATGGTAGTTTTCATAAAGAAGGGGACCCCAATCTAGACCTATTCTAGAGGGCTCCAACAAGTATCCCTTATGTTGGGAAACCGCCACATGGCTTGTACTGCCAGAACCTTTCAAACCCAGCGGGAAATGCAGCCCAAGGCTTCCTTCCTACAACAACCCCAAATCAATACCACACCAGTTAATTAGTACGATTACAATTACGGTTGCTGCTGCTACTGCTGCTGCTGCTGTTACTACTACTCCTGCTGCCGCTACTGCTACTGCGGCTTACCCCTACTCCTACTCCTACTCCTCCTCCGACTCCGACTCCAACTACTCGTACTCTCGTACTCGTACTTTTGCTACCCCGTAGCATTAAAAGTGCCACCTCTGACTGCAACAGAGATGCATTGACCAGCGCGATCAGATCCGACTTGGAGCCCTCTCCGGCAGGCCCACACACGCCAACAAACATGCACGTGCATGTCTACATCCATCCATCCGTCCATCCATCCGTCCATCCATCCATCCATGCATCTATCATCCCATCCATGCATCCATGTATGTATGCATACAAAAATGCATGCATACAAGCATGCATGTGAATGTGCATGCGTGCGTTTACACATGCGCATATTTCGGCATTCCAGGATGCAAAGCAACTAGGTGATGAAGGCCCGTTTTTTGTGGGCCGCCACAGAAAGAATCACAAAATATTCGCGGTGCCAGCTTAGAAATGCCCATCTCCAAGCAAGGAGCCCTTGCTAGGTGTCCTTGCACACACACATGTTTAGTCCCCCAAGCTTTGAAACAACGATGTGAGACATGCATAGTGCAGTACTTTTATTAGTTTCAACTCTTCTATGATTCAATAGCAGCGGAAGTTGTCAAACAATTGCTTGAAGAATCTGACCTCAAAAGCCTAGCCAAGTCCACATGTAAAGTCCTTGGCCAAGTTTGCTTTGGCCAGGTTGGCATCCTTCTCCTGGCCCATAGGGCACCTAGCTTCAAGAAAGAGGAAAATACTACGAGACACTGGTTCGGCAGTGGTCTAAGCCCAAAACTCCATAGCCTATAGCCCGCCTTAAGTAGATAGAATGTGGCTTTGGGTGTACTAGAGTAAGATCCCCATATATCCCAAATTCTATCTACTTAAGGGGGACTGTACACTAAAGCCCAGCCTAAGCTCCAGAGGAGGCCGCTCTGGTCCGCAAGGTATTGGGTCACGAGAGGGCTCAGGGCTTGGGACCTTGACAGAATTTATCAGGGTTGCTGTCAAGGAACTTAAAATAAGTTACCATAATGGGTATATATAGTAAATAATAGGGTTTCCCCAATATGGTAACTTAACTTAAGTTTCTTAACAGCAACCCAGTTATCCTGGGTTCAATGTTGCCTTGGACCTTATGAGGTGCGAGCGGTCCTGAGGAGAATGGAGCAGCGAATGGAAATTGCTAGGTTTAGGCCCTAGGGTTTACAGTAGGGCTTAAGCACGCGCAAAGGGAATAGCTGAATTTTTCCGAACTATTCCCTGATGTAGCCCAAGCCTACTAGGAGACGTGTGGCTTACACAAAGGAAGTGCTAGGAATACGTAGGGATTATATGAGGGGTTTCTAGAAATTTTCTGAAGGATGCTTCTTCATCAAGTTGAGAAACTGCCAAAAAATGCGCCACGTCCACCGCAAACCCAAAGCCCTAACCTTAAAACCAAAACCTTGAACCCCAAACCCTAAGCCCTAAACCCGCTTCTGTGAGGGGACTCTAAAGATGTTGCCCGCAATCCAAAACCCTTAGGAACCTAGGAAGCACTTAACTATAGGAATTTAAGTTCTTTACAATAAGAACCCCTACCTCAAAATTTAAATGCTTGAGTTTAAATGCTTCCTAGTCCCCCTAAAACCCTAAAACTTCAACCCAGAGACTTAAACCCCCAACCCTAAGCCTTTAACCCTCTTCTGTGAGGGGACTCTAAAGATGTTGCCCGCAATCCTAAACCCTGAAACTTCAACCCAGTGTAGGAACAAGGGGCAAAAAGGGCGACTTGTACCCCAACGAGGCGCAGATGGTGATCATCCTAGGTCACTACACCTAGGGTCTAGGGTTCAGGGGGTTTAGGGTTTAGGGCTTAGGGTTTACGGCTTAGGGTTTAGGGCTTAGGGTTTAGGGCTTAGGGCTTAGGGTTTAGGGCTTAGGGTTTAGGGTCACTACACCCTAACCAGGGTTGTTTAGAATAATTTCACTTCCCAATGAGGGTAGTATATAGGGGTTATATAGGGATAATGGAAAAGAAAATGGAAGCTACTATTTAGGGTTAAGGGTTTTGGTAATTACTACACCCTAACTCTTCCCCAGCACACAGTTTGGGGTTAGGGTTTAGGGCTTAGGGCTTAGGGACTATGATTTAAGGTGTTGAATTTTCAGGTCCTGCTTGACCCTAAGTATCTTATACCTTGGGTCTTCGGGTTTCAGGTTTTAGGGTTTAGGTTTAGGGTTTATGGTTCTAGGGTTTAGGGTCTATATTAAGGCTATGCAGGATTGTAACGTCAACGGTAGGGCTCAGGGCTTCGGATTTCTCTGAAAGGAGGCCCAATGTCACCCTACAAATGTCTTGGGATTAGACACATGAAATCCTACATCCCCCCCTACACCCACTCCCAAATAAGGCCTAAACAAGCCGTAAATGAGCTCTAACTAGGCCTTACGTTTATTTTGGGAAGGGGGAGCGAGGGGGGCAGTATAAGATCCCATAATACAAGGGGAATACATGGGTCCCTGTCAATTGGGAAATTCATCCTTCTGAGACATCTCAGCGTAAGTCGGTTCAGCAGCACCCTCACCTGGGATGTATAAATGAACATTTTACCTGAAGCGCGCAAGGGTAATGTTGGGTCAGGAGAAAACGCCTGCTGACCTGTTTCGAGCCGCTGGTGCGTATGAGCCTTCAGGTAGGGGCACAGCATCGATGCCGACGTATGATTATGTGACATTCTGGGCCACTGACTGGGCAGTGTCAACCGCAAATACAAAATGGTCTGTCACGATTCCATGCATACCCAAACTCCTTCACACGCATAGCAGGCGACCATCACTCCGTGAAAGTACTCACACACAAAGCAGCTCTAGATGCTGTTCTGAGACTGTACCACGCATATATGCGGGGGGACCCTGCTACATTTTGGGTGCTCAGGGAGTAATTAGTGCTAACCACAACTAATCACAATGTTGATGCTAGTCTCTCTTCCGGCTGGAACGGAACTCCGTGACAATTGAAGCTAGTGAGCAACAGCAAAGCGTCATGTGAAAGCACCTGAAGGGCACAGCCAACAGCAGCATCTTTGCCAGCATGGGATGCACCTTCGCAGCTCCGGAAGGGCAGGCGGTTTAGAGTCTAGAGTTATGGAAACTACTATAATGGATTATATAGGGTTACATAGGGGTCATGTTGGGATAATGGAAAAGAAAATGGAAACTGCTATAATGGGCTATATAGGGTTATATAGGGCTAGGGTATGGGTTTAAGGTTCAAGTGACAATGTTCAGGAGGGCTAGGCCATCTGCAGGAACAGTTCTACCCAGCCCTGTTCACTAAACCCCTAATCTGATTTCCCGGCTTAGAAGATGTCGGGAGGATTCAACCCCGCACCCAAAAACCCAAAACTAGATCTTCATTCGGGCACGGAGGAAGCACATTGGGTTCGCAGGGGTTGTCAAGATCATGGCGCTTTTTGGACCACCCTAATTAAATACTAAGGGGCATGGCATGTAACCGGCATGTAACTGCCCATACAATCCCTCCCCCCTAATATTCCCCACCCTCCTCCACCGCGAAACCTTAACATCAAAGATACGCGCAAAAAGCCCCCTTGCAATTTCGCTCCCCGAAAGGCGCAAGTAATCCCGATTTTTTCCAACTCGCAGGGGAAAATCTTCTAGATGTTTGAAAAACGAAGCCCTAAACCTTCGGCACTCTCTCCGCAATCCTGCCTGGATCTTCACAAGCTGGGCACCCAAGGGCGTCAGCGCTTGCCCCGACATGTCGGTCACAGCGCCAAGCCTTGAGTCCAGGCTTCGCTGAGGCAACGAGGGAGGCGGTTAAGGGTTTAGGGTTTAAAGCTTAGGTGAAGTACCAAACCCTAAACCCTAAACTCTAAACCCTAAACCCTAAACCCTAAACCCTAAACTCAATGACAAACTTTTAGGCCCCAAGCACTATCACCTCAATGGCTGTTCATTTTGGTGCATAGAGCCCTGGGGTTTAGGGTTTAGGGTTTAGGGTTTAGGGTTATTTGGGTGCTTGGACCATAGAGATACCCACAGGGATCTAGGGTTCTGGTTGATGGTCGCCCCAAGGTCTTCATAAAATAGAACCCAGGTGGACCCCCACCAAGTAATAGTGACTATAAGGCGCAATGGTGATTGTATTAGGGACCTCATATATTCCTATTTATACTCCCACTCAACAAGACTTGCAAAAGACGACGCTCTGGCGCAGCGCTGGAAATGGAAAAAACCAACTTTCTAAGAAGGGTAAAAACCCAGCTATACACGCGCGCGGCCACGCGAAAGAAAATCCAGAGGGTGCCATCGCTTCGCGCACTGCGAGCGGAAGGCAGGCGGGCAGGCAAGGGGAAACACGGGACCTAAAGCAGGGCAGGCAACCGAGGACTAGAACCCTAATTATAGGGAGCCCTGGGCCGGCGGCCCTGCGAAAGCGTGGGCGCGAGCGCGGGTGCAAGGACTAGAACCCTAGACTAGGAGGAGCCGGCAGGCGGTGATGCGAGGCAGGCGCGGGCGCAATGAAGGCAGCGCGAGAAGCCGCAAGGAACGACAGCTCTGCGAGGGGCCACTCAGTCAGAGCGCACACGCTCGCCCCCCTCTGAACCTGGTAGGTGTTTTTGTGTCGGAGGATAGCTCGAGCGTTCTCACGCTGTAATGCGACGCTGAAAGCCTGATAGAGCTGCTCAACGACTGCAGATGGGGACTCGCCGGTGCGACCAGCAATGAGAGCCCCCAAGCTGCGCCACGTACGCACTGCGACGGGGCCCCAACCACAGCCGCACGCCTCAGCAACTAAGGGGAGAAACTGCAGGCTCTGATCAGAAAATAGCTGCGCAGTGTGCAGGTGTGAGCGCTTGCGGTCCTCATAGGCGAGGGAGGCACGGCTGGGCACCATCAGATGCGGAGGAGGCCAATACAGCGTAGATGAACAAGTACATGGCAAACATTATGCCCCTGTATCTTTTCGGAAAGCATTGTAAGCAAATATCTGCAAGGATATGGCCTCGTCTCCAGATCGCTACAAGAAAGTCTGGCCAATCAACCGCATCCATTCGCTCTGAAACATTGCTAAGCCCTGTCCCCTCCCACTGCAGTGTCTGGAATCCTCAAGACTCAAGAAGCACTTCTTCAAAGACAGAGGAAATTCCACAAAAGTCACATCAAAATCCTACTGAACTGTGGCACAAGGCCGGTGCAAAAGCGCGAGCGCGTGAGAGATGACCTCGTCCTTCCTAGGCTGGTTAGCAGCTTTGCCGTGCTAAAGGGTCAAGGAAAGGTTCATTATAGAGACTGTTTGAGGGAGTACATAGGGACTAGCTTGGAATTGGAACGTGCTGGAATCATGCAAACTGCCATCCAAAAATGAAACACTTGAAAAGGTGGCCCTTACACATGACTGCCCTTGCAAGGAGGCAACCCGTGAAAACGAAAACTGCTTCCGGGCTTAAGGAAGTGTGCTCTGACGGCTTGCAACATTCCCTGACATGTGAATGTGTTAGGTCGGCCCCCAATACTCATTTCTTAGAATCCGTTCGCAAATCTTCAAATATCTTCCTACACGAGCCTTACCCGAAACGCTCATTGCTACAACCTAACCCGTAAACTTTGGCCTTCAGTACATCATCCCTAGACCCACAAACAGTAAAATCCTGGTACTCCGGGCCTCCCCAATATTAACACAGCCAAGGTAGGCGTCTGAGAGTCCAATTCATCCTGAACAACGTAAACTCTAGACCTTATGAGGCCTAACTCCAGGCCCCGGAAATCCCAAACCGCCTAGCTTCGGAGGGCTGATGGTCTCTTGCAAGAATTCCTGCGGCGGCCCTGGCACATGGGAAGCTGGGAGTGTGGAATTCAGCTCTTGAAGGTAAGGTTTGGGGCTTAGAGTTTATGGCATATCTGCATGCGCGGCTGCCACGCACAGATGGCACCATCCCATTCCCGCAGGTCTGTGGATGGCGGCACAGCGATTTAGCAGGATGTTTTCGAAACATCCATCGCAACTGGGAATTCTCAATCTGTGAAGATATGACAAGCTACCACGCAAAACATCTTTTATTAAGCTACGGGTCTCCAAGAGGCTTTCATGAGGTTCCAGGACCTGGAGGGCCTCAGAAGCTCTAAGCAAACTCAACCCGTTTTGGCAGGTAATAACATGCAACAGCTGTTCCCTTCATCATTACCAAAATCACGTCGCTGGGAAGATGGATTTCTTGGGGTGGTTGCGAGTTGTCTCAGCGGATTGTCTCTGCGCTGCGCAAGGGATACAACGCTTCGCGCCTAGGTTGAGGGATGCCACGTCCATGCACAGCTCTTCCATTGGTGAGCGCTGCATCTCAGGGAGTGCGTACCTTGGATCATGAGAGTCGTAAGGACTCACCCAGGGTTTGGGGTTTCGGGTTTAGGGTTTAGGGGTTTAGGGTTTAGGGGCTTAGGGCTTAGGGTTTAGGAAGAGTTTTTCCGAGCCCTGGAGACCCACCGTGGATTGATGAAATCTTGCACCACCCGGAGGACCTTGTAGCTTAAGAATTACCAACATCATTCCCCGTGTCTCTAGGGCCAAGGGCAGATGCAGTACAAGCGTCCACAAGGACAAATTGAAGTCTCAAAGCAAGTCAAACCGAAAGTGTCCATCCACCCCATAGACATCTGAGGACATACTGCAAGAGCCTAAATGATTACGGATATCATATTACGCGACTTGAGATACCCCATGCCATTGTTATATAAGGAATCTAGGTCTATAAAATTGGCCCCTAAACGCTAAACCTCACAGTATAGGCTGTAGGGCTGGGT